GTCCAGTCAAGCCTGAGACTACCCTGCTGCCCCCACTACAAACAGACCCGATGGCCTCACCACCCACCTGGATGGCTGCCACTGACAGGCCCCGGTGCGTCTCTTCCTGGCCTGTGCCCAGCCTACTTGTAAGAACTTTTTATTGCTCCCCCTAAACCCTACTTCCTTTCCCTGTCTTCAAGGATTCTGGTTACCCCAACCTCACTTCCCCTTAATCGGGCTCCCATCATACCCCCAGGTACGCCTGCGCACCCAAGGCTGCCTGGCTCCTCCTTACCTCTGTACCTTTTCTCCTGCTTTATCCCACTCCATCCAATGAACAGGACTTAGGGGTCGGAAGACCTGGGTTCAAGCTCCCTCAGCCATCTGCTGGCTGTGTGATAGGTACCAAGGTCACCTGACTTTTCTGAGTCTTGACTTACTCATCTGTAAGCTGGGAATCATAGGGCTACACAGGGCCATGGTCAAGAGCAAAAACAAACAAAAAAACCTGCTCTAGAAACGGTGCAAAAGTTAGTTTGACATTCAGCCTTCCCAAACTTACGCTGACCCCTTCTGGACAGACACGGGCTGGTGTGCTCACCCACACCAGGCCTCCACCTCCCCAGCTGGTCTGAGAACTGGGGCTTGCCTTTGTGTCCTGGAGCTCCTACCAGTCGAGGCCCACAGTTGGCGTCTCATCGACCCCGATGAGCGAGCAAATCAACACGAGACAACTCAGCACCGTCTGGACATTCTGCAGAAGACATGCTGCCTGAGAGGCCCCATGGATGACTACCCCACAACACACCGTTGTAGGGCCTGAAATCCGCACCCAGCCTGCAAACCCGAAGCCTTATGTTAGAGCACCCCACATCCTAGAAAAAAACTGCCCAACATGCTGGGTGGACGTGAGGGTCCCACTGTGATCCAAGCACTTGACTTTCTGGGAGCGTTTAAATTCTCTGATTCATTTAATTCTTGCAATAACCCTACAAGGCGAGTGATACAGATTTCCACTCCTCGAACAAGGAAACGAGCTCGGTAATGGTAATAAGCAGACTGGCAGGCACTTGGTTTCCAAGAGAAAAGACATGATTGGAAGCCAGTCTGCCCTGCTCCAAAGCCAGGCTTTTCTCCCAGGGACAGCCCTCTGGAAACTGCAATTGTCCAGATTTCCAGCAGCAGGTGCCACACAGACCTGCCACCCTCCACAAACGAGAGGCGACACGCTCCTCACTTAAAATGAGAGGACATCACCCCAAGGCCCCCGAAGGCAGCTCTAAAGTCCAAAATGATATCAGTGCAGAAGGAACCCTGGACAGAGCATAAGACAGGAGGCCACCCATATGAGAGGAGGTGGGCAACTCCAGGCAGGACCCACTTTATGGGTGCCACCACCACCCACGAGCACATAGGGGGCGGGACCAGAACCTTTCAAACAGATGGAACGACCATGCCTAACAGGCCGGAGACTGCCTTCCCCATTCTCTCACGTCCTGCCAGCCCCTCACCAGCGCCTGCAGCTATAGGAGTCTGATTGAAAGAAGCCAGTCTGTCTGTGGCGAGAATCAGGACTCCAGGATTCGTGGCTTTGATAGCCAGGAGGGTGATCGCAGCTCACAGATGCCTACTTCGGACCCACCAGTTTCTGCTTCGGCCTTTGCAAAGCCGGATCCTAAATGAACTGAGCCCTGTCTGGCTCCTCCTGGGCAGGCAGCGTGAAGGCAGGCGCCTTATAAACAGGGCCAGCGCCAGGCCTCCCGCCTCCTCCTGCACAGCTGACTTGCAGAGAAGAAAGACTCCCTTCCCTCAGGCATCCCAAATCCCTACACCTGGAAATCTTTCTATCTGCTGGTGAGCAACCAGAGTCACAAAAGAAAAGTGTGAACTCGGGTGGAAAACTCTGGAAAAGCTAAGCCACCAGGGAGCTAGAGAGAAGAGGAACTTCCAACTCTGATGTGTTTGAAACCCGGTAAGTGCAGAGACCTCGAAGTGACCTGCGTGGCTGGACTAATTACCAATGTTATCAGGCGGATGACAGACATGCCCCGAACTTCCTCTGTTTGATAGATTCTGCTGCAAACACACTCAAGTTCAGGCCCATGCCTGCTGTTTCCAGCAGTGCCCTATTCTTCCACAAGACCACTCCTGGCCTGCAACTCCTCTGACCCACTGCACGCCTCTGAGCCCAGCCACGCCAGTATACCCACCAAGCGCCAGCCTAGTGACTCAGGGAGGGCACCTCCTGCTGGAACATATCACAAAGAATCAGTGCAAACTCCTCCTGGCAGAGGAACAGAAAACATCTCCTTTCCCTGCACAAATTTCAGAGGAGAGATGAGAACTGCTGCCTTACCTTTATCGCCGATGCCACCGGGGAGCTCCAGCCCATGGGTCCCTGGCGGGTCAACCCCTGACCAGCACACACCAGGGTCCCACACTCCACACAGGCACCAATGATCAGCTGCCGCCCGTCGTCCACCAAAAGGCTGTGGCTTGCTCGCAGGGTGTAGAGAAACAAGGGCAGCCGGGCCACCCGCACAGCCTTCAGACCCAAACACCGCTTCCTCTCCTGCTGGCAGAAGAAGCACACAAACGTATCCACTTGGTACTGCCGAGACCAGGCGCTGACAGCGTGGTGGGCGTTGCGTGCCTCGTGCTGCAGCCACTGGCCTAGCAGATCATGGTAGCAGAGAACGCAGGTGGCCACCAGGCCGGTGGAGTCAGCAGGCCTAGCACGCGGGGCAGGTGGGTAAACTGTGAGGAAGGGGAAGAAGGGTTCCTTCTCGCCCAAGCGACTGGAGGGGTTCACGTTGAGCTGGAACTCCTTCCCGGGGCCCAGCTCAGCCCCACAGATGTAGCAGATGGACACGGCACTGCCCTGAGCCAATGCGGGCGGCTCAGAGAGAGCAGGGTCTGAGGCAGGGAAGGCCTGGTGGTACCTCCCCAGGAAGCCCTGCACAGAGGTGATGAGCTCCTCATTCTGGCAGGCCCGGTACAGGGCCCAGATGTCCTCCAGGACGCTGAAGCACTTGGGGCAGCTACGGACCTCACAGCGTTTGTTGGGGCCTCGTGCATTGGGAGGGCAGGGTAGGAGGCTGAGGAAGGGGAAATGCATGGTGCTCCTGGCATTGCCGTTGAGGATCCTGGAGGCCACTGTCCGGGCATCCGGGGTACAGTCCTCCCCGCAGAGGTAGCAGGCCTCTGGCAGGGTCCCGGGCAGTGGGCCCTCTTCCCTGGGGAGCCTCCTGCCCTTGGAGGCCATGCCGGGGGCGTGGCTGTTCAGAGGCACCACGTACAGTCGCTGCAGGACAGGCACGCTGGCCAGCTCAAAGCTCTGCCACTGCTGCATGAGAGAGGAGAAGCAGCAGGGGCACACCAGGGTGCTGCCACCCTCGCTGATGGGCTGAGCCCCTGGGGGTGGACTATGCAGCCACAGGAAGGGGAAGAAGGGGGCCTGGGCCAGCTTCTCCTGCTTCTGCACGTGGATCTGGTGCTGCGAGGCCGGTGACAGCGCCGACCCGCAAATGTAGCAGCAAAGGCCCTCTGGTGGCGCAGCCTGGCTTTCCAGAGGAACCCGGGGGACCCGGCCACCGTTTTCCTTCTCTTTGGGGCCACAGGGGCGCGGAAGAGGCTGCTCCTTTCGGTCCTCCTCCTCACTGGTGATGTTGATGTCACTGTCTTCAGATAGGCAGTAGCCTCCACACGACTCCCCCAGCGGCCTGCTCTCCCGAGTCTTGGTGGCCCTGCCTGAAGGGGCTCCTTTCACGCCATCTGCAGGGGCCCCTTGAGCTGAAGGGCCTTGCCAAGGGTCCTGAATGCCTCTCAGGACACTGGCCCGGGCCTCAGGGACCCAGTACCTCCCAATGCCTTTCCGCCTGCGCCTAATGCCCGTCTTGGGCTCCCCGTCCACGTGCAGCTTCGAAGGGTCCCCCTCCTCCTCCTCCACGTCACCCCGCGCAGCAGTCTCGGTGCTCTGTCCCGGAGGGGGTCCCGGTACCGGCCTCCACTCCTGGCAGCGACCCCCGCGAGGCCCAGGCCCCGGAGTGGCCCGCGCTGCTGGTGCCCCGTCCTGGCGGGGACTGACGGCGTCACGCGTGACAGGGTCGGGCTCTGAGAGGGGGTCGGTGTCCGACAGCTCCGACAGCTCCGAGTCTCGAGGCTCTTCCGCGGCGGCTCGGGAACCGGGGCCGCCACCGTCGTCGTCCTGGTCGTCGTCGCCCGCCGCGCCGCCCAGCGCGTAGGCGACGTTCCACTCGCGGGGGGCCCCAGCGCCCCCGCGGCGCCCGCCCGCGCCCGCGTCGCACTGGTGGGGACGCTTAAGCCAGTACATGCGCTTGTCCACAGGCGTGCGGGCGCGCTCGAAGGCGGCCCACTGCTCTCCCAAGAAGCAGCGGCACACGGCGCACACCAGCACGCAGCCGTCGGCCGGGGACAGCTCGCGCGCGCCGGGCGCCGGCTCTTGCTGCTGCAGGAACGGGAAGAAGGGCTGCGCCGGGGTCCCCGCGCCCGCCGCCGCCGCCGGCTGCTTCACCTGCAGCTTCAGCTCCTTGCCGCGCCCGATCCCGCCGCCGCAGATGAAGCAGGAGAGCGGCGCGCCACCGCCGCCCGCCGCCCTCTCGCCCACGGCGGCCATGAGCCGCTGTTTGCGGGAGACCGGCCGCCCGCTCATGGCCGCCCCGCGCCGCCCTCAGCGCCCGCCCGCGCCGCCACCGCCGCGCCCAACTTGGAGCATGTGTGCGAGCCGCAAAGTTTGGCGGCGGGCGGCCGGCGCGGGCGCGGGAGCTCCGCAGCTCGCAGGGGCGCTCCCCCGCCCCCGGCCCGCCCAGCCCCCGGCGGCGCCGCGCCCAGCGCGCCCGGAACGCAGCGGCGGCGGCGGCGGGCCCCGGGCGGCTGGAGCGGCAGCCGCATGTGCGAGCTCGGCGCCTGCCAAAGCGTTGGGTCATTTAATTGGGGAGGAGGGAGGCGGGGCGGCGGGCGGCGCGGTGGGAGGAGGGAGGAGGAGGGAGCAGGGCGGGCGGGAGGGAGCCGGCGGGCGGGGAATCCCTCCCGCGCGCGCCCTCCCCTCGTTCTCCCCCTTCTTCCCCCTCCCCCTGTCGTCCCCCCTCTCCCTGCTGTCCCCCCGCCCCGGCGTCCCAAACTGCGCACAATAGCGCGCCGGCTCGTCTATCTATTTTGTGTCCAGCCGGGAGCCGCGAACGATGATTCATTGCCCCAATTAGGGGCTCTCTCCAGCGCGCCCGGCTCGAGCCGTCTGAAGGGTCTCCTCAGGGGACCGCGGAAACCCATCAACGGCTACAGCTGGTCTTTAAGTAAAGGTCAAGCAGGACGCAGGAGGAGCCAGGTAAGGATGTGGCCGGCGTCCCCTGAGACCAAGGAGCCAGCGGAGGAGCTCTTGGGAGGGGCAGTCTCAACCCAGCGGCCAATTTCTTTCAGGGTGCTACGGCCCTTCCTCACTCTGAAGGGGACTCAGTAAGGACCATTTGCAGCCCTCAGCAGCCCAGAGCTGGGGGCAACTTGCAGGGTGCACTGTTCTAATTTTGGAGACAGGGAAGAGGAGCTGCCCCTGCCTCCCAGAACACAGTAGTGAATGCACCATCCTGGTGACAGAGTCCTCGGCCTGCCCCCGCTCCATACCACTGGCCAGGGGCAAAAAGGGTGCTGTGTGTTGCAGGGCAAATGACTCAACAACTCTGAGGCTGCTCTTCCTCTTGTTAAACAGGAGCTCTGACAGGAGAGTCACTGTTTTCATATATTTATTGTGTATGTGAATAGATGCATTGTATTCCTTTAGTACACAGAGGGAAACCTTAGCACTTGCCAAGGTGCTTTTCAGATACGTCAGCATGGTTGCTCCTCCCAGTAACTTTGGGTTAAGTGTGATGAGGACCCCATTTTATGGATGAGAAAGAGGTAACAGTTAAGTCACTCTTCAGGAGTGGCGGAGCTGGGATTTGGGCCCTGTGCTGCAGTGTCCGGTCCCCACCAGCCTCCTGCTGATGGATACTGTCTGGGGCAGGGAGCATGGCAAGGACCCCTCGGTGCTTGCTCCCTGCTCTTCTGACTCACGCTGGGTGGCCTTTGCACATTCCGGCCTTCCTCGGCCTCACGTTTCCCATCTGTGAAATGCCACTCCTTCCAGCCTCAAAATTCTATGAGTCTCTGATTTCCAAGCAGGTGACAGCTGTCCCAACCTGCCAGCTGGAGCCGAGTGAGCCTGGGGACAAAGGTGCCATGTGGGCCCCTCTGCCCTCTGGGGCACTGACATGTAAATAAAACTAGGCTTTCTCTGGCGCTGAGGAGGAGGACTATGCATTATAAATAAATGGAAAAGAGGAAACGGCCACCTCTTTGGAAACCCTGGTGGTCACAGTCCAGGGGTCACAGTCCAGGGGTGAACAGGAAAATCATCATCGTCATCATCAGAAACACAAAACTCAGGCTCTGACCCAGGCCCATACAAAAGCTGTGTCAGCCAAGCTGTCCCGAAGGAATGTTGGGGGCAGGGCAAGGGGTTTCCCTGCTTCTGGCATTTTTAGTACCTGGTGAGAGGAGGTAGGGTTAGTAAAACTTTGAAGTTAATTGTGTCTTAGCACAAGTATGGAGCCCCACACAGACCAAGAGGTTGCTGGTAAAACAATGCCAGCTTAGGCAATGCAGGTTTACTGCGGGGTTACTGGTGGGTTCCGTAAGGCTTGGCACACTTTCACTTCAACACTGTTCCTTTCACTTCAAATGCCTTTCCAGGCTCTCTTTTCCAGACCAACTCCTCCTCTTATCTTTATGGCCTTGGCTGTAGTATCTCCCCAGAGAGATTTCCCTGTCTTCTCCATTTCAAGTAGGTCCCTTCTGTTATTCTCTGACTCAGCTCATTGGCATAGGAATTTGCTGTTGATTTTATTTATTTTTTTGTTGACTTTTCCCTGTCTGGCTCCCCAGGAGCCTGGGTGCTCCCTCCCGCCGACAGGAATCAGGTGTGTCTTGTTCACCGTATGTCCTGTTCTATCGCTCTCTAGTTCAGTGAGCCGTGGGCAAACCTCTGAGCTCCCTAAACCTCAGTTTTCTGCCCTGTACAATGGGCTTTTGATCCTCACCATTTTTGTGTGAATGGATCAAATTAGGCAGAGAGTGCAGTGCTCTGGGCATGGGCCTGGCACGCTGTAGGTGACAGTGTGTGTGTGTCGACTCTTCCTGGTTCTCTCCAGGGGTTGAGGAGGTTCTGCTACTGCCTGTCTACAGCCTGAGGGGAAGGGGCACTGTGATGAGGTCACACACACGGTCTGAAGGAGGAGGGCCACAGACGTCAACAGGGTAAAGAGAGGGAGGTGGAGCTTCCTTGGCTAAACTGAAATCATCCAGGAGAAGTTCCTGAGTATGTGCCACACGTGTGAAAATGTGTGCTGGTGTGTGCATGTGTGTGCACACGTGTGCTGGTGTGTATGTGTGTGCATGCATTCGGGTGGGTGCATGTGTTTGTGTGCACATGTGTGTGAATGTGCTGGTGTGTGTATAAGCATCCGAGTGTGTGTGTGTTTGTGTATGTGCACATGTGTTTGTGCATGTGCCTGTGCATGCATATGAAGTGGGCCAGGAGTGGGAGGAAAGAGGCTTCCGGCTGGATGTTTTTATTTCCCTGAATGACCCAGTGACTCAGGAGAGTCCCTGCCTTACATCTCAGGAGCCAGAAGCAGGCAGGCACAGATCGGGGAGGAAGGCAGGTGATGATGGTTCGTCATTTGTGGGTAGATGGCGTTTGGGTGGGGCCACTGGCACAGACTGACATAATAGTTCTGTCATTTACTTGCTGTGAGGCCTTTACCTCACTACTTAACCTCACCAAGCCTCAGTTTCCCCATGTGTAAAGCAGGGATAACAGCACAACATACCCCATAGCACTGGGAGGAGGATGAGGAGACAGTCCTGGTGAAGCTCGCTCTGATCACGGACGTGGCAGTGGTTTGGCACACCAGGGATGTGTGCTTCACAGGTGCAAACTCCCCAAATCTTTACAAGGAGCTCATGAGGTGGGTTCTGTTATGTCCCCAGTTTACAGGTGAGGAGATAGAGGCACAGGAAGGTGAAGGCCCAAGGTCATGCAGCTTGGTGGTGGCCCCCGGGCAGCATGTACCCACGACTTCTTGGCTTTGTTTGGCGTTAACATTAGCTTTGCCCTAAGTCCGAGATGCCAGCTTGTTCAGGCAGGAAGAGCCTACAGTCTCTTCCTCCCTCTCGTCACACGTGTCCCCAGTTCCGCAGGTAAGGAAATGAGGCCCTGACAGGTTTGTGTCTAGTCACAGAACAGGCCAAGTGTGCCAGAAGGTGAGAAATGTCAAGGCTGCTTTATATTAATGTCACATACCAAAGTAGACTCTAAGTACCAGTTTGTAAGGGAAAGTGACGAGCCACCAAACTGTCCCAGAGCCACAGCCTCCAGACCCCAGCAGAGCCATCTCCTTGCTTCCCTGCGTATCTCACCAACTTCCCTGCAGCTCCCTCGAGACCATGCAATGTACCACCCCAGCTCTCTCCACCTCTCTTCCTAGGATGCAAGCGTAGTGGACTTGAAAAGCCACGCCAGATGCTTATAGGCAGACCCAGCGCTGGGAACCTGGAGGAAACACTCCCTACCCCTGCCCCCCCGGTTCTGTAGGAGACCAGAAATCATCAGTGTGGAGCATCTGGGCACATCTCATACTTGTGGCTTCCTGCAGGGTTGGCTCAGAAGCTTCAGGAATCTGCCCTCACCCTGCTGGGAAAGTTAGTTTCTAGGATTCGAGCATTTAGCACAGGTAATTTTATATATTTTCCTCCAGGACTGCCCATTCCCACCAGAGCAGAGCCTGGGTGGCTTCTCTTGTCCCGTCCCACAGAGCCTCAAGGCCAGGGACTCAGCTGGGGCCCAATCCATGCCTGACCCTGGGATGCCATACTGTATCCCAGACCTCACCATGCCTTCCAAATTCCAGAACAGCCCACTGCCCTCCACTGCTCTACCCTCTGGTCTCTTGCCCTTCCCCAGTACCAGCAATCCAGACCAAAGTTTCCCATGTGCCCCAGCTTCTCTGGACCCCAAAGTCCCACTTGCCTTCTCACTGGGGCCTTTGCCCATTTCCTCCTCCCTCTACACTGCGCATGCACCTCTGCCATCCCTCCCGGGACCCATTTACCTGCCTAGGCTGGCCCATCCTCCCTCTTTTAGATGCTACGTGTGCCGTGTGTTTGGCCTCTTGCTTGCTGGGGACCAGAAGAACAATTTGTCATCTGACTGCCCTATTTTTTTTCTTTCTTTTTTTCCCCCCTAAGAATGAAGCAAGCACTTCTCTACCCTCCTCAGAAAGAGCTTCAAATATAGCAAGCCGCTGGCAAAAAGAAGTACATTCTTCTCAGAGGAAGGAGTACAAGCGTTAAAGAAAAACAAACCTAGGATTTACGGAGGCCTTGGGTTTATGAACCATTCCACACCTACTGGGTCGTACGACACAGTGAAGCAGGAATCACATCGCCATCTCCACGTGGGAGAAGAGGACACTGCGGCTCAGGGGCACTATACCTGGGACCAAGGTGAGCTCCCAGCTGCCCTGGCCTGCTGAAATTCCCTTCCTTTTGTATATGTAACTGTGCTAACTTGTTCACATAAACATTAAAAAAGATTTGTGTTCTGCGACTCTATCTTAGCATCCCTTCTTTTTTCAAATACAGTAGCCTTGGAGAATGGAAGCAACGAGCCACTCTCCAGATCTGGGTCTTGAGGTGAGCTAGGCAGAGGCATTTGGTAAGCTGCAAAGTGCTTTCTTTAAAAAAAAAAGAAAAAAAAAGAAAGAAAGAAAGAAAGAAAAAACAAACACTGCTTGCATTGCACAGTTAAGGATCTGAGCACGGCATACAGATTTGAAGAGCAGAATTGGGTCCCCTAAAGCTTTGCCTGGCTCCTGTTAACCTGGAAAAAGAATCTGGAAGCACACAGCCCAGCCTCCTGCTCTGGGAGACAGAATTGCTCCAACCTCCTCCACCTTAAAATCCCAGGCTATGGCCATGAACTTCAGGGCCTCGTAAAACCTCTTTGATGAATGATCGCCAGGGTGGACCTGCACCGGGGATGATGGGACAAACACTCCACATAAATCCTGAGTGTGCTCAAAGGCTCCCTTGCTGCTGGCTTCTCAACAGACCCCTGATTTGCAGCACAAAATCCACAGCAATCATTTATGTGGTTAACTCCCAGCCTTCTGAGCCAGGGAGCTTTCTGGAGAAGGCAGGGCATGGGTGTGTGGGGGAGGGGTGGAACAAAAGCAGAAGGTAGTGACTTGGAACTGCCTTAAGGGTGCCTGGTATGCAGTAGGTGCTCAATACAAACCAGTGTGTGTCCTCCAGTGTGTACAGGTAGCAGCTAGTGTTTCCTGCACACCGACTACATGCAAGGCACTAGGTTCAGCGCTGGCATCATCCTCTAGTTTAGATCTTAAGACAGCCTGAAAAATAGTCATGTCACCCAATTTCACTAACACTGAGACTGGGAACATTGAATGCATGTCCCAGGATCACAGAGCCGGGACGCGGTAGAGTTGAATTCAGAGGCCGTCTGGCCCAGGAGCTGTCCTCTAATCATGCTGACATGTGCCCAGCGTCAGGCCAGCCTCCCCTGCTCCTCTGCAATAAAGGCCTCCTTGTCCCTGGCTGGGTCCTACCAGGCAGGCTGTCGGTCAGGGCTTGCTGATGACTTTGAGTCTGGCCTAGGGCTTCACCAGCAGCCCTGCCCCAGCCCAGGCTTCCCTAACCCTCAGCAGCCAAGCTTTCAGGCCCTGGAATACACTCAGTGGGCTGCAGCAGGTCCTCGGGGCTGGCTAACGGGGCTGGGGAGTCAACGGCAACAGATTCTTTCCAGCTGGTACTCTGAATCACTACAGGATATTCCAAAGCCTGACCGCCAGCCTGCCTGCCCTGGTCTCTCACTTCTGCCATTAGCTGGGTCTGAACTCAGGGATGGGGGTGCCAGCCGGGCCTGAATCATGTGTCCAATGCTGACCCAGGGTCTTGTTTTGTAATGACCTTTAGTTGAAGTGTGGCCTCCATACAGAAAACTGTGCATTGTCATATGGGTACAGCTTGCAGAATTGTCATAAATTAGGCACATCTGTGTAACCTGCACCCAGAAATAAGGCCTGTCCAGTCTCCCAGCAGTGCCCTTGGCTCCCCCTTGCAGGTGCCACCCCCCCACACACCACCAAGGCTGATGACATATAGCCAGAAATCTAGGCATTCTGGCTTCTAACACCAAGTTGTGGGGTTTTTTTTGCAGCTTTATTGGGATATATAATTCACATAGCATGCAGTCCACCGGTTCTGTGGCGTACAATTCCATGGCTTCTAGGACGTTCAGACTTCTGCAGCCACAGTGGTTCCACCACAGTCCGTTTGAAAACACTGTCATTCCCTCAGAAAGAAACCTCATTCCTTTGAGCTACCATTCCTCAGTCCCTCGGCCCCTGGAAACCACTGCTCTCCTGCCTCTCTCCATGGACGTGCCCATTCTGGATGTGTCATGTCAACGGAATCACACAAGTGGTCTTTTGTGCCTGGCTTCTCTCACTCAGCGTGATGTTTCCAGGGCTCGCCCATGTTGTCGTGTGTGCCAGCGCAGACGGTTTTTGCACCTTGTATAAATAGAATGCAAGTATTCTTTGAGTATGGCTTTCGGCTCTGTGTTATACCTGTGAAATTCTTCCCTGTGTTTGTATATAGAAGTGCTGAGTGCTTTTTTATTCCTGTATAGTATTCCATTGATGGATATAACACAACTTACCCATTCCACTGTCCATGGGTTTGGGGTAGTTCTCATTTTAGGCTAACACGAATACTGTTTCTCTGAACACTCTCATCCATCCATGTCTTTTCTTGGAAACACACGAGGAGGCATCTGTGTTGGGTAGATAACCTAGGAGTGGAGTTGCTGGCCGTGGGGTAGGCATGCATCCAAGCTCAGTACATACTATGATGTTTCACACCACATTTGTGGTAGCTCGTGGGCTTCCCGTGGTTCCCTGCTTCCTGACCCCTCCTTTCAGTGGCCCACCCACCAGCCGGAGCCCGTGGACCATCTGCTTGTGGGGCAGCCAGCCCTGCCGATCTGAGCAACCCCGGGAAGCCCACGTGGGCTGTGATGGGAAAGGGCTTGGAGGCTGGTGCTTTCCTCGGGTCGTACGCGCACGCGTGGTTCCTCTGCCCTGGCTCTGAAACTATGTTCCTTTCACGGGCCAGAAATACTTAGGCATGGCTCACTCTAAAAGGGGAAACACATTTTAAAATTCCAATCTGCCCAGCTGTCGAGAGGACGGCGCTCACCAGGAACAGCGACTTACAGTCCTTGGTTCCCACTTCGGGGCCTGACTCTACTCACTCCTGGGTTCAAAGCGTGTTTCTTGTGCGCCTGCCCATCTCAGGGACTGGGCTGGACACTGCACGGGGCCTCTGAAAACAGCCAGCGGGACAGCACGGTGGGCATGTCTTAGCGTGAGGAGACCCTAGACCCTCAGTGAGCCAGGCTCTGTTCTAAATCTCCATCCATCGTCCATTTAATTCTTTCAGTGACCAGACAAGGTAAGGGTGTGAGTATTCTTTTTCCACTTTATAGATGAGGAGACCGAAGTCCAGAGAAGCTAAGCTACTTGCCTAAGATTACACAGCCTCTGTTGCTGAAGTGGAATTTGAACCCAGAGCCCCCACTTTTAAGTACTGTACCACATTGCCTCCAGACTTGGTTAGAAATCTCAGCCCTGCCCCTTCTTCTCTGTGTGACCCTTGGCAAGAGGCTGAATCTCTGAGCCATGTTTCCTCGGTTCATATGAGTGTGGTGAAAACCACGCCTCCCTGCCCTGCCGCCATGGGGAGGTCAAACGCCAGAACGCAGCAGTGCCGCGAACAGAGCAGGCACTGCACAGTGGTCCGTTTCGCCCCCGCCACTCCCTGAAACGGTGCCCACCCCCAAGAAGTGCATGTCTTCCAAAGCATGTATTCTGGGAGAGAGTTGAGATTTTGGGTCTCCAGGCCAGGCCTTATTTAACAGGCGGAGGGCCCAAAGCCCAGGGCGGCCCTGACTTCTCCAAGGTCACACTCAGTCTTGAGGAGAACGCTCAGCCGGAAGCTCTTCCATCCCTTTTGAAAGGTTTCATGGTTTTAAGGCCCAGGCGCCCTCACCCAGTCATTCGAGAACTTACTTCTTCCTGAGTCCCTCTCTTCCTCAGGGCCCAAAGCTTAGCTCGCATGATGGAAACTCTGGTTTTAAGGCAGAACCAGAGCAAGTCTGATGCTCTGGTGGTCCCCTCGGACTCCAGGCTCACCCCCAAGTGGGGTGGGGTGGCCGTGGGAAAAGAGGCTGGGAGGCAGGCCCGGTGTCCCATTGCGACTCTGGCTGGGCACCCTGACGCGCCTTCCAGAAAGACTATCTCCCAGCGGGGCCACCCGCAACCCTGCTCGGCCATTAATATTTATCAGACCTGAAAGCTGAGCCACTGGAGAAGTGAAAAACAGCCGTGAACAGGTGCCACAGTGGCTGGCACCCCCGCCCAGACTATGGGCAGCTGGGGGGAGCTTAGTTAAGGTTAAGGGGCTGGATGAGGTGGGCTGAGCACATGGCCTTCTCTGGGAACAAAGATCTCAAAGGAGGGAAGCAGAAGATCAGGAAGTGTACACCTTATTATGAGAAGTTGAAAGTCTCTCCCTGCTATAGGTGTGCGAGGCCAGAGGGTAGGGAGGACCTTGAGGGCTCCCGGCCTGGGCTGGAGACCAGGAACTGGGAGGTGGGTTTGGCTGGGCAGCTATGGCTGCTTCCCTTCTGGGAGTGCCTCACATATGCTCCCTGCCCTCTGAAAAGACACGTTGTCTTTTGAAAGTACAAATCTGGTTATGGCTTCCTTACTGCTTAAAAACCTTCTCAGTTTCCATAGCTCTCAGGTTAGAGAACAAACTCCCTGTTTACTGGCGCCTGCCAGTGTCTCCAGGAGACCTCAGGACCTCTAAGGACCTTCCCAAGGGACACCATACTCTCAGCACCACAGGACCTTTGCACATGCCATTTTAAGGGTCTGGAACTTGATTCCCTCCCCATGCCTATTTAATTCTTGCCTGTGCAAGGCATAGTCACTCCTCACCCTTCTGCTTTGCAGGCGGACCTTGCAAATGGCATTTCCCCAGTCCCCTTGCCTTCTGGCTTCCCACTAGTTTCAGCCAATGGAGACCAAAGGGCAGGTCGGGGGAGGAACCAGGGTATTTCCTCCTCTCTGCATGTCTCCCTCTCCTCCACTTCCCCCGTCCCCCTCCCCATCTTTCCCCTTCTCTATTCTCACCACCCTCCTTCGTGCCGCCTTTAGCAGTGTCTCTAGAAATGGCCATATCTTCTCTGTGGCCCCAGCAGCTCCAGTAACTCTGTCTCCTCTTTGTCTCTCCAGCCCAGGGCGATGGCAGCTTCCTACACTTCCTCATCTGTCCTGTTTGCTCTTGCAACTGCATTATCACTTTTATACCCAGATCCCTCTCTTTAATTCCTCCTTCTGAGCCACCTGACACAGGTGTCTTTTCCCTGATGTCACTTGGCTCACCCTTTGGCTCTCACATGAGGGTCAGACCTCACAGGCGCCTTCCTGGCCCCCTGGCCTGGCTCAGGAACCGCTGGGATATACTAGGTGATTTCTTTTCCTTCTGGGCACTTATTGCTGTTTGCAATTATGGATTCATGAGTGTGGTTATTTGATTAACATCTGTCTCCTCCCAAATTCGCAAGTTCCATGAGGGTAAGGGCCAGACATCTGTTTCTGCTCAACTCTGTATCTCCAGCACCACAACCTAGTACAAGGGCTGGCAGTCGGGAGGCACTCAACTGTCTGCTGAATAAGGAACCAGTGGATAAATGAATGGATGGATGAGGGGAGGTCTGAGGAAGTCATTCAGCCAGAAAGCACTTATTCCAGGTGAATCTTTCTTTTCCCTTTTTCATAAGGTCACTAGTAAATTACTTGGAGAAACTCATCATACATTCACTCAACTGCAATTTATTGAGCACCTACAGGGTGCCAGAATGAAGGCATAGGTGGGTATGTGGGTGAGCGGATGGACGAATGGGTGGAAGGAAGGAAAGAGGAAGAATGAATAAATGGATGAGTAGACTGGCAGCAGGAAGAAAGGACTTATTCTTGGGGACAAAAAAAAAAAAAAAAAGGAAGGCAGAGAGGGAAGACAGGCAAGTTGAATGAAGAGGAAAAACTGCAACGATTCTGCTGAGGAAAAGCAGAGGGGCGGGCAGTGACCGTGCTCTCATGGGAACATGGTACTGTGTCCCTAAAATATGCAGGAAGGTCAGGCTGTGAGAAGCGAGCAGCAGGGAAGGTTGTTTCTGAACTGGGTTGCGATTCCCTCGTGTTAACCAAGAGTAATGACTTTGATTTGAAGAACCCATTCCTAGCCATGACTTTGGGGCCAAAGGGATGTGACCGGCAGCATTTGGGCTGCCACAGAGACCCAAGGCTCCTGAGTTGGCAGTTAGGGTTGACCTGGCAGCAGGGGACAGTGGCAAAAGCTGAGACCCTGAACTCCTAAACACATGTCCTGTAGCAGGCAGACAGCACTTCCCTTCACCCCAGGCCCTGCGGCAGATCCTCTATCTGCTCAGGGTCTGGCCTTGCCCCAGCCTTCAAGAACCAGGCTCCAAAGGAAACGCTTGTCTCCCTGCTGGTCTCAGCTGGTTCCCCTCGCTGTGAGAGTCCCAGGCCTGGAGCCCCCACCGTGGGTGCTGTGGGGTCCCAGCATGGAGATGGGACAGGCAAACTCAGAAGCAGGGAGGAGGAAGGGGAATGGGTGCAGAGGGGCGGCTGGGCGGGAGCTGCTGATTCACAGCCACCCTTCAACAGGTGGCCCGCCATCTGCTCCGGCTTCCCGCCCCGGCCACGAGTGCAGCCCTCTCGAGTCTACTTCTGCTGTGCACGCGGCTTGAGTTCATACAGCCAGAAAAAGAACTCGCCGAGAGCTGGCCGGGCCGGGGACAGAGCAAGGGTCACTTGTCGCCTGGGAGCAAGGCTAAAAATGACCAGGGAATTTGGAAAGTCCCCATGCTTGGGCCCTGACCTGCATTTCTTTTCACTGGGTTCCTGGAGTTTGGCCTAAAAGCTTTTCAGAGCTGGCTGTGCCCATCCTTTACCTGACAGATACTGAAACGAAGGCCCAGAGAGGTGAAGAGGCTTGTCTGGGGTCACACTGCTTAACATTCGTTCACTCACTCATTGAGTCCCTGTCTGTTTATCCAGTGGGCTCCCTGCCAGCTGCAGAAATATGGCCTTGGGGAGCCTATAAATCCCAGTAGGAGACCAGCCATGTAGGTGCCAGAACTTAATGCAGGAGCATCTCAGCCCTGCTGCTGACGACCAGAGAGAATGTCTGAAGCTCTTTGTGACTCGACTTCCTCATCTGTGAAACGGAAATAACTATAACAACAGCACCGACCTCTTCGAGCTGGTGTGTGAAAGGTCACTGCGTCACGTGCCATAGGGAAAAGCCTTCATTCAACTTTATTCAGCATCATGTACTTCATTCTCGAAACAACCTAGAGCATGAATATCCTCAGCCCTCTGCAGATGAGGGGAGGGACATGTCCAGTCGTTTG